ACTTATACCTAGGAAGTACTACCCGCTCGAGCGCCACCGCTCGAGCGTAAACAAACCCGCTCGAGCGCAAAAATTACATCTGCAGAAGTTTTGCAAGAACCCGAAATACTGGAGGTGTGCAATACCCGCTCGAGCGCAAGAAGACCCGCTCGAGCGGATCGCCTAAAAACTGAACAACAAGGAATTGAAACCAAGGCCTAACCAACCTGTAACAACCCTGTTCAAAACATCCTAAAACTCAATCAAGTGGAATTAAAGGACGACAACAACATAGATACCACTACCAACTTCACGGAACCGAGTCTGGAATACAACAGAACAGTAAAGGGACAACCGGGATCGCTATAATATATAACTTAATTGTAGCACAATTTCAGTACAGTATCTTATCAAATTTATCTTCTACGCTGTGATTTATTTTTTTATTTAGTGTGAATTTTTCAGATAATATAATAATTTTTTTTTTATCGGCAAAAGAAAAGACTTTATTGATGATAAGCACATACAGAGTATGAAAAATTACATCAATAAAGAGAAGCTTGGAGCTAAAAAAACTCCAACCTCCTAGTTGGTGATAGACCAACGAAGAAAAAGAGTGACACTCAAAAGAGTGTATCTCCAACATCAAAAGTCCAACCTCACAATAAGGCAAAACAGGACAACAGAGTGTGCTCCAGGCCTCCTCACAATGAGGACAACAGAGTGTATCTCAAGACCAGCATGAACAAGAGAGTGTATCTCCAAACCATCCAAATTGACCATGAGTGTGCAGCCACAAAGCAATAGCAGACCAGCAGGCATAACCATTCAACCTTCCCAAAAAACTCCCCTGTGAGAGCTATCCTAATTTACAACAGCATAATCTCAAGTTGAGAAATTCAACCCATAGAACTATCCTAATTTACAGCAGCTCCACCATCTCTATTCACCAGCACCAAACCAATTGCAGCCCAACTGATATACCATAAACATATCAGCAGTAACAGCATCACAAACATATCAGTAGCCTCGATGTAGTGCAGAGTCACCTGGGATAGAAACTGACCAAGAGCAGCCTAGCAGAGCAGACCAAACATCAATACAGCAATACAGCAATACAGAGCAGACCAAACAGCAATACAACAATATAGCAATACACCATACACAAGTCCAATGTAGCAGACCATAGCAGTTCACCTCCCCCTCGATGTAGCAGTCCCATGTACTCCCTTATGTAGTCTTAATAATCACATCCAATGTACAACCAGTAGGCTCTCTTGAACCACCATATTCAGACTGAGGCATGATTCCTATAGCCCAGACACCTTCTCACCTGATTGAGATTGTGGATCAGGTCATAGACAGAGTAATCCAAGGTAAAAGCTGACTTGACCCACACTGCAATTCTGACCTTAATGTTTTCACATAAAGCATCAAAAGAGGGTTACACCCCATTGAACACACAATCATTCCTTTGTTTCCAGATTGACCATAAAATAGCCAAAGGAACTACACTCCATATCCTCTTTACCATCTTAGTATGCCTACACCCAGCCCACCAATCCAGTAGGTCCTGAACTGAACTTGATAAAACCCATTGCAACCCCCACCAATTAACAAAGTAAGACCAAATCAGCCAAACAAAAGGACAATGGAGTAATACATGAATAGAAGTTTCCTCTATCTCTTTACAAAAAATACAACAAACATCCACATTGCCATTAAGTATACCAATCCTTCTCAAAAAACTAGCAGTCTTAATTCTACCCCTCCAAGCCAACTAACCGAAAAATTGAACACTTGGTGGTGCAGCATTCTTCCACAGTGAACTTGAGACCATGCAAGAAGGACCAAAACCTAGTTCAAACCAGCGATAGGCAGAAGAAACACTGAAAACACCAGATGGAGTAGCATTCCATTTCAAACAATCTAGAACATTGGCTCTGAGCAGAGGGAAGCTGTTGAGGTGGACTAACAGTCTCCTCAGCTCCTCGTCTTCCCAAGCAAAGAGGGGTCTTCTAAAATTAAAAACCCAATTCCCAAAAGCATCTCTATTGGAATGGTACAGAGACACAGACCCAACTTTGGCATTTGATAGTGAGTAGAGTCTCAAAATAATGTAATAATTATGAATGTGAATATTTATAATTTCAATAAAAAAAATATTGTGAATTTTTAGAAAGTGTAAAAGTTGATGTAAATAAGGTGCTATCATGCTGTCACACCCTATGAGGTTTATGCGGCGTCATATTTTGATGATCCGAACAGTTTATATTATAGAGTTTATTGAGTATATCATTCAAAATAAAAATAAATTTAATCGAATAAATATAATCCCATGATCAAGCCAAATAATATCCTTATAAAAAACTATTAAAATCATGTTAATAGTTTTGTTTTTTTCTAAACATAAACGTGGTTTTGTCGTGAATTACAGATGTCTAAATAATTTAAATTTTTTCATGAATGATCTACTCAACAAACCCTACATTATAAATGATTTAAATTATTAAAATAAATTTGAGACACACCTTCAAAAACTAATAATATGGTGTTGTGCCTATAAGGAATAACACCAACTCCAAGTTCAAATATTCACACTTTTTAAAAAAATATTTGTATTTTTCAAACATTCACATTTTTCTTATTCATTGAAAGTGCGAATATTTTTTTTAAAAATCACATTATTTTTATTTAGGGGAAACTACATACACATGGGTGAAGGGGAAGAAAAAAAAAATCAATACATGGAGGGGTGAAAGTGACACTTGCACCCTCATACTCTTTTATTTGCATCCCACTATAGATACACTTGCACCCTCACAGTCTTTTATTTGCATCTTTATTTGCATCCCACCACAGGCACACTTGCACCCCCACTTGCACCCCCATGTGTGGGTTATTTTTTTCCATTGTCCCACTTGCATGTAATTCTCCTTTTATTTATAATGAATGTAAATACTCACATACTTTATTCTATAAAATTACAAAAATATTCAATAAAAAATTATGAACTCACACTTTTTACACTTGGAAAATAAGAAAATCACTTACAAAAAAAATTCTTTAAAAAAAGGGAGAAAATAAAGAACTAGTCTTATTATAAAAATCTAATGTGGAATTTATTTATATTTTTTTTCAATTTTAAATGTGTGAAATTTCACACTATTAAAAATTTAAGATTTAAAATATTTCAATTCAAAAACTATGTAAAATTTTATAAAAATGTTTAAAAGATGTGAAATTTTAGAAGTTACATTTTCACCTGGGAAAGTAAAGAGATGCAACTTAGGTGTATATATGTAATAGTAATAACATATTTAAGTGTTTGCAGTTCTTCATAAATTATATATAGATGTTCTGGTTCGGTTTCAAAACCGATTTGTAATTACGAAATCACGGACCGAATTATAAAATTCGATTCACCTATTTTAAGAATTAAAATCAAACCGTGTAATGAAAAAACTAAACCAAACCAAGTGATTGGTCTGGATCAAATCAATTTGTGTTTTTTTCGATTTTTTGCTCAGCCTTATGGTCAATGGAAGAATATGCACTCTTTGTTTTATATATATACTAGCGTATGCCCGTGCCTGAAGGCACGGTGTAAATAATGATGAATAGCTATCATTGGTGCAATTTCCCCTTTACTGAATTACTAAAATTCTATGGCACTACCTTTGTTTACAACAATTAATTTCTTCATTAATCCATCATGGAGATCTACAAATAATGGATCAAAAATAGTGCATGTATTAAGCACTAAGTACAATAAAGCAAACTTATTGGAAAAGAGCTGCATATCTAATATAAATTATGTAGCCTATGTTTGAGAAGTTGGGTTAGAGGACTTAGCTCAGAGTTTAATCAATGGCAGAATATGACATACTTGCACCAAAACAGAGCTACCATCGGAGATAATTTTCAGCATCATAACATTTAAGACAGAACCATAATTTTCAGCATCATAACAGTTAAAACAAAACCACTTAAAAATTTGAAGTGTGATTCAAACCCAAGAACGAACAAAATCTCACAAACCATAAGAGGTAAATTTGTATTTAGATAAACCAACGGTAAAAAACCCAAAAATCCCACATTCACATGTCCCTATGTATGCCCATCCAATTCAACTAACAGTGTCAAATATAACTTTCCAGAAACAAACCATTATGTCAAACTAATAAATAGACAAATACCATTGTATATGAGGCAATATGCAAAAACACTTTGATGAACACTATGATATTGTTTTTTGCACATAAATTACTTCATACTAACAACATCAATGCTTCACTGAAACAGTGAATAGAACTCACTTGAGAACATAGGATGCCATCAGCAACTCAGGCTCTCCACCCCATACATAAGGTTGTCGAATTATTTCAACATACGCTTCAATGAACCTAAAACCCATGAAAAGAATGAATAAACACTTCCATTCCGATTTAACCATGTGCAATAACACTAACTAATGTACTTCAAAAAAATAAAAATCACACTATCTAATGTACTTCAAAAAAATAAAAATCAAGTTAAACCATACCTACTGTTTTCAATGTGTTTGATGAAGGAAGTCTTGAATTGCAGCAAGGGAAAAGGTTGATTTAAAGGATTGATTTGATGAACTCACCTATTCATCTCAAGCAGCTGGCAGTTACTAGAACCAGGTGGTCTGCCCATGCCTGAAGGCACGGTGTAAATAATGATGGAAAAGGAGGTGAGAAAGAAAAACCTAGTGGTGGCGGTGATATAGATGGTAGCCTCAAGTTACCATCTGAGTCATACTTTATTGGCCTCCTCTTCTTCACCAACAAACCACCACCACCACCAACTACATCATCACCACCTGTGGTGGTGATCTGTAGGCTTCTCTTCATGTTTATGTTCATCACTTCAATAACAAATTGTATTAGTATTAAAATAAAAAATAAAAAAATAGAACAAATAAGTCCTAAATTCAGATTTGGGCATCAAATCAAAGGGAAAAAAAGGCCCTGTCATTAACTAATGTACTTCAAAAAAATAAAAATCAAGTTAAACCATACCTACTGTTTTCAATGTGTTTGATGAAGGAAGTCTTGAATTGCAGCAAGGGAAAAGGTTGATTTAAAGGATTGATTTGATGAACTCACCTATTCATCTCAAGCAGCTGGCAGTTACCAGAACCAGGTGGTCTGCCCATGCCTGAAGGCACGGTGTAAATAATGATGGAAAAGGAGGTGAGAAAGAAAAACCTAGTGGTGGCGGTGATATAGATGGTAGCCTCAAGTTACCATCTGAGTCATACTTTATTGGCCTCCTCTTCTTCACCAACAACCCACCACCACCACCAACTACATCATCACCACCTGTGGTGGTGATCTGTAGGCTTCTCTTCATGTTTATGTTCATCACTTCAATAACAAATTGTATTAGTATTAAAATAAAAAATAAAAAAATAGAACAAATAAGTCCTAAATTCAGGCTTGGACATCAAATCAAAGGAAAAAAAAAAAGCCATGTCATTAACTAATGTACTTCAAAAAAATAAAAATAAAAAAGCACACCAATTAATAGGAAAAAGAATAAATAACAAAATCTAAATCAACAACCAAATTAAACTCATCTTGGTAATGAAAAAAAGAAAAGAAACAGAGAATAACATTCAGATTAAAAAGTAACAAAGAATAACACTCAATGGTGTGTTAAGCATGCTAGATGATCTTCAGCCATATATGTATTAAGCATACTACACTATTCAGCAAACCCTATACCAACACTTCAAACTGCAAAATTATGAAATTGAACAAAGAAAATCAACGAACTTGATACCGAACTCGAACATGTGAACTAAATTACTCAATTACTCAAAAGGAGAAAGGGAGAAAAAGAGAAATCAAATTACCTTTGAGCAATGGTACAACGATGATGTGATTGTGGCTGGAACAAAGAAATCTAGGAAATGAGAGCCAAATTTCACAGCAAAATCATGAAATTGAACAAAGACATGAACAAATGCCAGCGATCTTGATACCAAACTCAATAGTTTCCTAAATGAAGACATAAAACTCAATACACCAAATAAACTCAAAATTCATAATCCAAATTCATAAAATTTATAGAAACAGAGCATTTCAACTAAGCCCTCAACTTCATAGTAAAACAATCCAACCCCAAAATAGCAAAACAGCAAAATCATGAAATTGAACAGAGGTACCAAATTCGAATAGCAAAATCATGAAACTCGGCGGTTATGAAATTACCTTTGAACAGCGGTACAGCGATGATGTGGTTGTGGCTGAAATAAAGAAATCTGGGAAAGGAGAGCCAAATTTCACAGCAAAATCATGAAATTGAACAAAGACATGAACAAAAAAATTCATACACATACAAATGTCAGCGATCTTGATACCAAACCTGACGGTTTCCTAAATGAAGACATGAAACTAAATACACCGAATAAACTCCAAATTCAGAATCCAAATTCAGAAAATTTATAGAAACAGAGCACTTCAACTAAGCCCTCAACTTCATAGAGAGAACAAATGACCCGTAAACAAAACCCTAAAATAAGCTGTTGGAAGAATCCCTTATTTCCATGACTTCATTGTCTATTGCAACACCTAAAAGATTCATCCTGGTCTAAGCATTCTTAATTTCATGTTCACTTGCTGATGTATTACTCTCTCACACCTGGTTCTCTGTTGCTCCCATCTCTTCTATCACTGTAATTATCAACCACTTCATCAGGATTCCCTTCAAAAACATCAGTTGAATGTCCAACATTGTGTCCTCAAGTTCATAGCAAACCAACAACTCCTCTTCCTCTAATAAATGCAAAACCTAACAAAAACCAAATATTTCAAGACCAAACAATTATTAATACAATAAATTATTCTGTGTTTAATCTCTTTTTCTCAGATGTATGACTCTATTTGTTTAGAAAATAAAAGAATACACATAATAATTTTTTTAGGCTCAAATATAAATATCTATTCAAAGTGTGACTAAATTAGTGGGTTGACGATAATAGTTAATATATATTAAGCGGGTGGACTTGGATTTAATAATTCTTTTCTGCTAAATTTTGGATGACTAAATTAGGTTGATGCTAGTCTGGCTCTGTTTAGGCTTAAAGTAACATGTATATTTCTTATTATGTAGTGTAATCCCAATCTAATCGATGTTCACCACTGGTTCCAAGAATTCAGTTCTGCCGCATGATCTATCTCCACTACATTCCAAAATCTTTTAGACACCAAAGCAGTTAACTCCTTTCAAAGTCCCTAACAATTAACTCCAATCCTTACAACTTCATTTTTAAATTGAGTAATGATATACAAATAAAAAAATACATACGGAACGATATAGTTGAATTCTCAAATTATTAAAAAAAACCCCACCAAGATGCCACATCATTCTAATTAAGTGAATTTGTATGAAAATTTTAGTAGAAAAGAATTTTCCTTCTAAATTTGGTCCATCAAAAAATTTGGGAAAATTGTTCATTCATAGATTGAAATTACAACTAACATAAAAAAAGGACCATCTATACATGCTGGAATCTGGAGCTTTCCATGTGCCAACTATTTTCTCAATTGGATGGGAAACTTGTTCGTTCATAGATTGAAATTACAGTACCAAACTAAAGCAACCCAAGCCAGCCTCTACGAAAATCAACTCAAAAATCCAACAGGTGCAGTGCAGTTCTCCAGAGTCAGAGAAGGTAATAAATAGCAACACTCAATAACTCAAATATACTAAATAATAGCAACACTAATTAAGGTAATAAATAGTTTTAAAGTTTTACCATTACATAATAAAACCTAAAGATGTTTAAGCGTAAGATAATTTAAATATACTAAATAACTGACATAGTTTTCTTTCCAATCTTGAAGAGTCGTGTGCTGTTAAGTGTTAAAGGAATGTCAAGAGGAGAATATGTATGTGACATAAATATTGCCATATCTCAGTTTCTTCTTATGTCGATAATTTTTACATGCCCTTTGGAAAGCCTTACAAAGCTCTAAAATCTATGATATTATTACCTTGAATGAAGTCTCTTTCTTTATAAGGAATTGTTGCATAGAATCCCTCTTATCGTGGTTCATTTAAGCATTCTTTAATCTGGTCTTGGTTATTGACAAATACCTTTGAAGTGCTAACATTAAAACCCATGTGGTTTTTGTGATCTTCTCCTTCACCATCATAAGCAATGCCGAGCTTAGCACAGTCTTCAAAATCTGAGCCCGTAATCCTTTGAAGAAACCAAGTAGCCCTTCCCTTTTCCAAATCGTATGGATTGCACCTGAGACTGTCTTTTGGGCTTTCAGTTGATCTTCCTTGATCTCATCTTCATCTGATTTAGCCTGAATCGTCACCTTACACCTGTCCGCAGTTCATATCGTAATGTTATCAGTTTTTCCATGAAAAAAACACACAGATAAAGGGGGCATGCTATTTTTCATTCAAATTCATATACCAATTTTTCATAAAAACCGAATAGAAAATCCACCTGATAGCCGGATATGTTAAGCAGGTGGCAATACACTTTGAGATTGCACCCAGCACAAAAGCAGAAAAGGCAGAAAGAGCTTCCGAGGATGGTTTTGTACCTCTTTTCTTGCTTAGCTGCCTCTTCAGTAGTCTCCGTTTAAGCTGATCAAAGGCAGTGTACTGCACAATAAAATTAGCTCTGGTTTAATTCGATTTCTCATATTTCGCAATTACATCTCCTTGTCTTGGTGTTTACCAAAACAAAAAGCATAAATCTACAGTGATAGAAAATTGCAGAGGTAACTATCACCTCCAGATAGAATACAATTTGGATTAAAGCCCATGATCCCCACACTGTATCGTTACTGTCATATTATCAACTAAATTAGACTAAATTGTAGTGTTTCTGTGTGTCAGGGCTGATATGTTGCTCTTCCAAATCAGTGCTTCACTAAACATTCACTCATTATCCCCAGAATTAAGCGGTAGAGATGCGGAGCACTGGAGAGGCAGACACAGCCCGACAAGAGAGAGAAGGGGAACAGAGAGAGAAGGGAAGAGGCAGAAATCTTACCTTGCAAGCCGAGTTCGAGAGGCAGAAGGAGTTGCTATCCGTGGAGATCGGAGGAGAGTGAAGATCTGAGATCTGGGAGGGAGAAAAGATGAAGAGTTGCTGTTAGTGGAGTTCGGAGGCGGCGCCACGGTGGAAGCGGAGCGGCAGTGGAACGGAGGGGGAGGGAGAGGAAGAGAGAGAGAAGTGCAAATAAAAACAAACCATCTCAGCCTTGGGTGGGACGCTGCAGAGAGAGAGGGAGAGAGGGATTGTTTTGGGCGGGAATGCGGAAATCTCACAAAGCATCTCAGCCTTTAATGAAAAAAAATAAATCATCTCAGCCGTTTAAATTAAATGTATCTCTCACACATTTGTATACATTTTCAAAAACTATCTTTCCTTATTATATAGATTAAAAAAAGTCCACAATTGTACTATTTTACAAATAGAAAAATTATAAGGCTTGGAGTTTTTTTCAAGTTTAAATTTGAACTTAAAAAAATTTAAATGGTTCATAAAACTCACCATCGATTTTGTTTTTATAATTCAAATAGTTTATTTTGTAAGGTCCTCAATGTATATCATCCATAGAAAATTAAATCAATTTGATAATTGTATCATTTTTATTTTATCGTATTTGTCTCTGACAAAATGGACGATAAGTATATTTTTTTTAAATAGATCATATATTTTTTTGGAGACAAACACAGTAAAATGAAAATACTACAATTATTGAAACAATCTATTTTTTTTTTATCGATAATATACATGGAAGATTATACAAAATGAATAATTCAAATTATTGAAAGATGACTCGTGGTGAGCCCCACAAACCCCTCAACGTTGACTGAACTGAACTGCTTGCACCCCTAGACTCATTTTATAAAAAACCTAAATAATACAAGTAATTGAGGAAATAAAAAATATATTTATAATAATTGAGAGATAAGGAAAAAAAAAATGACAATTATTCAAGTTTTAAGATAAATATATAGATTTTGAACAAATTGAAGACTTCTGTTTCAATGATTGTTACTTGATATGCATATTTTGTCATTTTCGACTAAGCTCTTGAGTAGAATAAAAAAGGTAGTAGAAGCCATGAGAAATGATATGGTTAAATCATACAACAAGACAATGTGTAAGTTCTAAGTTTAGCTGATTAGCCTAATCCTACTGAGATGACATGGTTAAATCATAATAGTAGATATTCGAGTTTTAGCGGGGTTGGAGTACACTTTCACTGGATTTGGTGAGCAAGTGCCTTTGGGTTTGGGTTCGGGTTCGAGGCTCCATAAAAGCGACACAATTCACATCCACCTCTACTCCCAGCTTCCGCTCACAAAGATGCTGGTGAGGTTGGGATCAAATTATAACTCAAGCTTGTTTTGATAGAGCGCTTGTGAATCTCATGTTCGATACCCCACTTTCTCTGTCAGGCCGTCTAGGCCACTTCTGTCTGGTTCCTCAGCAGATAAAGACTCCTTTGATCATGCTGAAAGAGGATTGCTACCCTTTTTATCAATATTAATAATAATAATAATAAAATTTCTTCATTTCACTATAGAGTTTTGGCTATCAACTGGACCACAAGTTTCATGTAGAATAACACAACTTTACATAAAATGAACCAAAAGCAAAATTTAATATACAAGGCTAGACATGAATAAGAACAAGAGCATCCTGAAAATGCATCTTGTTCTGGCCCCAAAAACCTCAAGAACAAATGACTTGTTCCACGAGTTGGTCAAAAATCAAATCTTCCAGTTCAAGTGCCACGTACTCAGTTTCCAACTGGAGGTTCATCCAACCAACATCCTTCCCCAAATCGTTAGCAACACCACGGTCCACTGATTGATCCACCTCTGGCCTCAAGCTCAGGGTTCTGCTAATTCTCGCCCAGACCTCCTCCAAAACACGGTACCCACCAGGCATTGGATGTACGTGACAATGGAAGGACAATGCCCTTGGGTAATAGGTGAACGAACTCTCATATATCTCAAGTAAAACCTCATTAATTAAATCGAACAGAAGCCGGTGATGACAACATTGGGGTTTGTGAGGACAACATTGAGGTTTGTGAGGACAACAAGCCGTCACTTCTTCAAACATCGAAGGGTTCGACAGCTGGTCCATTGAGTGCCATGGTCCAAGGAATCCATTTCCATCCAAGCCTGACCACTCAAGAACCTCTCTCACATAATTGAAGTCAGCAATATTATTTGTAAATGACTTAGTATGATTGTAATTCTTGACACTCTTGTTTGCCATTTTAAAAGTCTCGGAGTTTGCTATGTTGCAAGAACATGAAGGGGAGTCAACTGAAGATTCTTTCTCATTTCCGTAATTGCCTAATACAACAAAACAGAAACAATCAACTGCCAGTTTGTACCGTTAAGGAACACATTTTCAAAGAAAATTTTAATTTTTTTTCCAAATAATATAAAATTTCACTAGAAATGACATCATTACGATGCCAAACCTCATCAAGGAACAGATTGGGAATAGGGGTAAACTTTAGTTTAATGAATTTTTAGTTTATTTTATAACTAAATACTCATCAAGAAAGTTTCTTAGCATGGTATCAAAATATTTATGAAGTGCATTGGATAGAAGTTTGGCTATGATTGGTTTACCTTTTGACGTTGGAAAATCAGCAGGGCTGGTCACATCTTCTTGGAAACAGGTTTGGAAGATAGAAACTGGACTTGGTGGAAGCCTATTACTGGCAGTCTCTGCCAAAGTAATCTCCTGTTGTTTCTCCAATTCACTTTCCCCAACTGTTTGCTCATCCCTTTCCTCACGAAGCCTAAACATCTCAGGAGTACTCTGATCATTTATTCTTACTGTTAAGCTGGCTAAATCTTCATTTTTTGGAGTACTATCACTTTGTTCTACCAAGTTATATGAACATTCAGTCTCTTCATTAGCACCAAGTGGTATGCAATTCTCTATACTTATAAGACCTACTGGTTTTGGTTCATTATGACTCTCACTTTCGAAATTTCTATTGATATCCACAACTTTACTAATTGGTATCCCTGAAAAACGAGCATCACAATACAGCCCATTCTGAAGGGAACAATAAGAATCGAAATGAGGTAGAGAGCAAGCCCTTTTGAAGGATATCGGTTCATGCCCACCTGATGGAATATCATATTCATTTGTCAACTTCAAGCTTTCAGAGAAATGCAACTTGACCTCCCTGTCGAAACCATTCTCAAACAATTGAGCATATCTTTGTAGTGATTCATTCAAAGACGATGCTCTTTTGATGTGGGTTGGTGTACCCTTATTGAGATCATAAACAGAATTGTCCTCGTACAAAGGACCTTTGACAATTTTATCACTCCCTTGCTTATCCAATCCCTGTGTTGAATCCATAGAAGAAAATAATGCATCTTGATTTCGCACTTTGCCTCCACTATCATCAGCCATGAAAGGCCCTAATTTTGTATAGATATCCTTTGGAAACTTGGATGCAACCAACTTCGGTGCCTGAGTACTAGAAAACAACTCTTGCTTAGGGAAGGACCAAGCTTCATTCTGTTTGTTTTTGAGTTTACTAGGCCTATAGTTTCTATTGTGTGACAAATCAGTATCAGCTACAGGAAATGACCCTGATTTGGCTAATCTTGCTTGCATATTAGAAGCCTGAAGACAATGGAAGCCATTTGCATTACCATCTGTATTTTGCAATTTTTTTTGGAGTAAGTCCTTGTTAGCTTCCACGTGTTGTTCGTCTGCTGAAGTTGCCCTTGCTTCTTCAAACTTCTCGGGGCAAAGTGTATGATTCTCAAAAAGGTGTTTATGCTCCACATAGTTTGAAACATCACTTGTACCATCCACATTACACTTTTCATTGCAGGCAATTGGCTTCTTAGTGCCCTTCGTGTGGCCTTGATCCTGCAATCCGGTGGCAGTGGCACTGGTGTCACTGTTGGCATTGCTGCAAAGAAAAATAATTGGATGACCCTGGCCCGTGCTTTCTTCATAAGGAACATAATCTAAAGATTCTAAATGATGGATTGAAAAAGTTCGCTGCAACCGTGATTGTGCAGGAAAGCCTGAACCCCTTTCAAGAAGCTTTTGCGCTTCATCAGCTTCATGGACATTCAATCTAGTTTTTGGTCTTACATTGCCTAGAGAGAGAGAGAGACAGAGAGAGAAACACAGAATATCAAATCAAGTGCATACACCCCTTGTATGATTAAATGTTGAAGCAAGCACATTGACGTAATCTACATGAAGAGCAAGAAAAAGAAAATTTAAGGAAGCATCCAAAGTTAGTAGAGTTGAGTTTTTAGAGAATTTTCAAAGCTTTGAAGCTTTCTTGTGTTGTGTGATATAAATTCTAACCCTAGGTGTGATGCCTTTAATAATTTAGGTGAAATGTCTTGTTTTAGGAGACCATGAGTGATTCCTAGAGTTGTTTTCTCTTCTTCTGACTCTAAACTCACAAAACCGTATCTATATTGCCCTTATTCAACCCTAAAATATCATAGTTCCTTGACCATTCAACCCAACTTGCAAGAGATCACATAACCGCAAGGTTTCTGTTCACGGGGCAATGTTCACAGTGCTTAGAACAATCCTCGAACAGACCCCACAACCTCATGTTTTCATTATAAAAACTCTACTCTTTTGTGACCCTAATAACCTTAAAATCCATATATTCTTACTACTCTCTCAGCCCCAAAAGCTAATCAATTCCCACCCCAAAACTTACTATTTCTTCTGCCAAACATTATTCTCGGGCTCTCTACTAGTAGGAGAGTGTACCCTCCTCTCGCCCTACATCACCCACACTTTTCCACCTAAGATTTACTCCATGTCAAAATTAACACACATAAATTATTATTAACAGTGCATTTGTTGAGCTTGAGGACGGAAAGCCTCATTGCACCTGTCATGAAGAAGTCTAAATCAAATGCTTAACATCCCAATTTTGCTTGTTATCTTTCTTGCAGAAAAAATTCACTAAAGATTGCCAAAAAATCTCCACAAAAGAACTACCACGTATGCAAGAGTATCATCCAACAGCAAAAGTTTTACATGAAACTTGCTGATTGAAATAGCTATAAATTCTGTTAAAAGAGTCGAAGGAAAAGTTTATCTATTTAGTTGAACAACTATACAATAAGCTCAAAAAATTGGACATTTTAAACCGTCCATTGGGTATTATACCCTTTTAAAAGATCTCTTATTTCTCTCCTTCGAAGCACTCAAAATCAAGCATAATGGACCACTCTCCACAGTTACAGTTCCTCACTCCTTGAACCATCCCATGGCAGAATTCATCATTTCTAGTTGAAAGTTGAAACTATTGAATGGAGTAAATTTCCAGAGACTTTAGTTTCTTTTCTAATTTAACATTTTCAACCAAAAAAAAAAAAATGAAAACATTTGAACATGAGTTTGGAAAAGAAATGCTAACATCAGAATCTGCATGTGAAATTATCCACAGTAGCTTTATTGAGGAAATTAATCTCCAAACATAACTAGCAAGAACAAAAAAAAAAGTAAAAATCCAAACAGATTCTTAGCATAAAGCATAAATTTGTGTATTTAATCATGAGTCTAATAAAAGTAACTAGAATTGAAGAGCTGAGAAAAATCAAAGGTTCTACAAAGACCAAAATAAGCACCAAGTCTGGACTGCTAACCCTTTATGTCATCCATAATCACCAAGAAGAAGAAAGCATGCAAATTCATATCGCTTACCTTTCACATGTCTTGGTCCATTATGCTTCTTGTGAGGTAGCAGCTTCTTAACATTGTGATGCCAGTGATGATAGTCAAGAGCATGAAGGACACCCCGCACACAGCCCGACTGATTATCCCCAATTTGCTCATCAGCATCTTCGGTCCACAAGTGTTTTCCCATTTACAACACAAGCAAAATCCTTGAAAACCCACTTAATAAAGGAATTCAGTGACTATCTTCTTCAATCTGATAGACATAATTAAGAAAATACCATGTAAATAAACATGTTGATTGCCTAGCATATGAAATTCAGAAAATAAATTCCAAATTACTAGCAGCTCAAATCACATAAAAGCTTGTCAAAAAATCTTAAGCAGAACAAAAATCAAACACCATGTGAGCAAGGCTTTGACACAAGCTTTTCAGGTACCTTGTACAAAATCCAAGCAGCAGCATCACTTATTACAAAATACCCATGTCTAAAAATGGTAAATTTTTATTTAATTTTTCATTTTTCAATTATTTTTTCGTTGTTGGAAATTGCCTGTAAATTTCTACAATTTCAAAAAATTCTAATAATCAAGCATGAAAAACAGACATAAAGTGTTCAAACACATTCTAAAAATTGATGATCACCCAGAAAAGATCCAATTAGCATGTTCAATAACTCTTAATCAAACTAAGGAGTCTAAAAGAGAAAACAAGAACTATGCAAACTATACAAAAAGAGAAGTGTACAATTGATGGTACAATGAATAAAACATTTCTTAAAAAACAAAAACAAATACAAAAACAGAGACTTAGTCATACCCTTGAGAAGCGAGAAGAGCAAGAACAAGAATATCCAAAATTTCAGAATATAAGAGGAAGAAGCAAACTCCAAAATTTCTCAGTCGCACTTTACCAGTCAATTACGCACAAAATTACGTGTAGACTTTTCGACACGACACCATATGTTAATTCGACATGATTATGATTAATTAAGGTGAGATCAATTTTTCAATGCAAATTTAATTATGACATAAAATGGTAATACAATATGGCCATATCTGATTAGTACAATTATGGCATAAAATTGAACTCACAATTTTATATTTAATTATAAATCTTATTAACGGGATTATATATAGAATGTCTGAAATTAATGAATTTTTAGTATTGAGAGGGGTCGAGAATCATAATTTTAAGTATAAAGGAAAAAAAAATGAATACATAATAAATTATTATCTCACTAGTTAATTAAATAACTAATCCTATATTATTTTATGAAATTATTAATCTTTTCATTATTAATTTTACTAATCAAACAAGGTCGAGATAAACAAGTGAGATCAACGTTAAACACCCATAAATAAGTAGACGAGATCAGTGTGAAACTAGTATATTACAAAATTGATACCAATAGCTGTTTAATTGAAAATCAGTTAAATAATCTAATGTTTTCTTAGGATAAATTACGCTTTACATATATATGTTTGGTTATTTTTCGGCTTTGGCCGCTGAATATTTTTTTTTTTGCCCCTTCATGTTTTAAATTTTTTCTAATTTACTCACAAAAGTTAATTTCGGTTCAAAATTAAATAGAAAATGACACATCAACAATCACATCACTACATAACATACATATAATTTATTATATATATAACTCACAAATTTCACAATCTCAGACTTCAACATAATAATATATGTTTATGTTATGCGACAATTAAAATGTTGTTTTCTATCTAATTTTGGACATAAATTAGTTTTTGAAATAAATTGTAAAATAAAAAACTTGAATTATGGAAGGCGAAAGTGAGAAGAAAAACTTTAAGGATCAAGTGAAAAAAATGACCAAATATACATAGGCAAAGTAAAATTCGTCCTTATTTTTACTAAGGAATGTTATGACATATTAAAATCACTTAAAATTTTAGGAGTAATTACAACAACAAAAAAAATTCAAAGTTTAACCCTTATAACAAAATAAATTCGGAGTTTAATTTTGTCAATTTAAATTCTAATCTTTTGATTTGTTTTAAATATATACCATTAGCTTATTTTTGTTAAATAAAACCGACCAGAAAAAGATATTTTAATTTTTAAACTCAATGCATGTATACATAAAATATCTAAAATAACATTTTTTTGTTAAGTTTAATAACTAAATTATAATTTTTTTCATTAGTTTACATAACGGAAATAGGTAGATGAGTTAAATTGAAAACAAACTATAAAAGTTTAGGATTTAAATTAACAAAATTAAAAATTCATGATTTATTTGTCATAATGGTTAAACCTTGATATATATATATATATATATATTGTAATTACACCAAAATTTTATTATACATACTTTTTTATTCAATTAGATATAATTATATATCTTATTGAATAAAAACGTATATTTAATAAAATTTTGAGGATATATTTTTTTTACTTGAGATAATATATTTTTATTTATTATATTTGAGTCAATTTAGTAAATATAAGAAATAAATAAAAATAAGATTTAATTTTTTGAAATTAGAGAAATGAAAATGAATTGAAGTAAATGTTTTTATTTAATAGAAATTATTCATAAAATTTGATTTGTGAGGAATTTTTTTTTAATTTTTTCATACACATTGTATTTTTAATTAAGGATGAAATTTATTTGGCATACAAATTCAAAATGACACATTATGATAATACGAAGAAAAAAAAAGTAAGTAAATTGAACTAATTAATTTTGAAAGAATTGTGATGCAAACTCAAAATAATACCATACAAATATATTGACCCCTAGTGAAATCACACAATAGATTATGTTTGAATCATAAATTTAAATAGGAATTTAGAAATAAAAAGATAAAATGAGAATAAAATATAATTTTATTTTACTCATTTTCTTTTCTTTTTTTTTTCATTTTAAATATCTATCTAAATTTATGATTTAAACACAGATATAATATTCTTAGTAAAAGACTTTTTTGGATATTGGAATGTGTAAGGAAAACAAGAGGAAAATAAAATGAAATTGAAAACCGTTTTGCATAGTTTAGGCACTCCTTGTCAATACTATAAAGGCTTGTTCAATTAAGCGGACTATAATATAAGATTGAGATTATTAATTTATAGGACTTACATTCTATTATTTGATTTAAATTTATTATTTAGATTAGATTCTAAAGATAATTTTATCTAACAAAATTGATAACTTTTTTTTATCTTATACTAATTTCATGGATTGTTAATCTCCTCACTATTAATCTTTATTAATCAAACAAGCCCTAAGGCTTTTGTTAAGAAATGTATTAAATGAGTATATTTATTCTTACTTGTATAGAAAATAGTAGAAACTTTTAATGTTATTAGGATTCAAGAAGTTTTTTTTAACATATAGACCAAATTACTCTCTTTGTAATTTCCCTCAATTTCTCACCCTTTAATTTTCCTTCTATTATTTTATTTAATTATATATATATATATATTTTAATTTGCAACATATATTATAGTAATTATTTAATTCTAAATAAAGTATTTTTATTTATTTGGTTTTTTATGTTTTGAAATAAATTGAAATGTATTTTTATTTTATTTTTTTGTTGTATTTTTATAGCATCAATGTTTTTTTTTTTTTTTTTTTTGGAGTGAGATATACACATACTTTCCTTGAGGGTCTTTTTCCATCTTGTTCATTCAGTGTGGTGGTTGAAACCTCGCTTGCTAGTGTCTCTCATGGGACCTGGAGGGCCTGGAGGACCGCCGGGCTGGGGGCCTCCTCCTGGTGGACCAATACCAGGGCCTCCTCCCGGATTGGGTTTTTTTGGTGGTTTTTGCAATGCCATATCAGCTTGGTAAGAAAGTTATGATTTTTTGTGATAAAAGTTACCAATACTTGTGTTATGTCATTTGTGGCTAGAATTGTTACAAATTATTTTAGTAAAAAAAAGTTGCCACTTCTCGTGGTATTTATTATAAAACATTGTAGTTATTTTGTGATAGTATACATATAGTATACACACGTTTATGGGTGTGCACGGAGCAACTCTTGGTAAGTATTTACTGTTCAAAATGTAGATAAATAACCACTCTCAAGTTTTTAATTTGACTCATTGTTGAAATTTTATGTTGTGTTTGGATTATAAATTGAGTAGGGAGATTTGGAACAAGTGAGAGAGATGTGAACGAAATATTAGTTAAATTTTTTTTCCAATTTTTTTTTTCTTTTCCAAATTCCTATTTAAATTCATGATCTAAACATGATGGCGGTACGATGATTTTTTTATTTATATATATATATATATATATATTTTTTGGTTGAAGTCTCTGGTTTTAGTAATGCTAGAAGTGAAAGGAAAGTAAGATGGTTGCATTTTATGGGTATTACATAAAATGGACTGTTGAGTTTATGATATGGCACCCCTCCCCCCCCAAAAAAAATACAAAGATTATAACAACAATCATGACTCTTAAGAAATAGCAGAATAATCCCCAACACCTTTCATTACATGATCCCTGTGTTTATACAAAAAAATCCCACATGCGATTATACATTCAAGAAATTTTAGCACATGAATTTATAGCATGTGGACCATTCCGCCAAGAATAAATAAATACCCTTGAAGGTTTATAAGTTCCAAGGTTTAAGCCCGGTTACACAAAAGTAGTCTCTTGGACTCAAACAGTTATAGCCCTAGGCTTACAAAATACAATCACAACAAAATAGAGCCTTGTGCTCTATATATATGTATCCACGCCCTAGATTGGCAGATTCACCATGCCCTTTCCTGCACCAAAATCCCATTGGGATGAGCATAAAACCTAGTAGAGAATTCTTAACAAAGTATATATATTTATGCAATATTTCCAATAATGAAATACACATGCTATGTTACGCCTTTTTAAAAGAGGATTACATTTACATCTTTAGAAAACCACCATGCTCAATATTAACTTGAAATCTCAACGATTTAGAAAATTACAATTTAATTCAATGGGGCGGTAAATACGACTCAGGTAATCCCTAGGTTGGTGTCTGCAAGTAGGCATAACTAACACTACCCAAAACCCCACTTTACCGGTTGCTAACCGGAAGGGAAGTGGTACCTCCTCTGCGCGTGTTTTCGGTCTTGCACTCCGGACCCTCAAGCCAACTTAGTCGATTTCATCTACACCTCCTATTTGGACTTACCAACATATTTACCCCAAGACATTTCAATAGTTCTCATTTCAAAATATTCTTTTCTTAACGTAAGCATTCCAAACTCAATTCAAAGTGTAAAATAATCAATTGAATGAATATGTAATGCAACAGTTATCAATGTCTCATAACATTCCTCCATTTGCAAGTAACTCAACAATAATACCATAACAACCACATTTCCCATTTCCCTCTCTTCAATGTTATTTCACAAAACCACCACATGTTCAATTAAATCTATCAACAAGTAGCAACAATTCCTCATCTTGTGCAATTCTCAACAATTTAGTCATTTCAAGAATACATCAACATCTTGCACAACAACTCCCAAATTCATCACTTCACATATTTCATGAAACTCATTATATATATATATATAAATGCACAGATATGAGAAATTCTCAAATTTACTTATCATTTTGACACAAAAGGATGGAATAAAGAAAGATCAACCAAGGTTTTCTCAACAACCTTTTAAAAGTAAACCCCAATTCTTTAGGTTTTTCTCATCACAACTATACATACCCAAAATCTTCGAAAATTTTTCTTCAAAACATTCTTTTTCTCAATCAAAGTATTTAAAAACCCTCAAGATAAGGTTCTTTAAAGGTAACAAGAAGTAAATCCACCCCAAACTATCCACATTGTAGAGCCAACTTTCAAGTGTCAAAATTTACAAGAGAAATTCCAAAAATCTAAACCAAAATCTTACAAAAAATATATATAACTCAAAGAGATCCCCTACCTGAAGTTTGGAGAAGAA